GACCTTATCCTTCCATAAGTACTGCAAAAGCCGCTTCGAACCGGCATTCAGAAAGTATCCACTCGAGGTAAGTTGACAAGAGCAAATAGCCGACTCAATTGTATGACAGTTGGTTATAGTAAACAAGTTAGACATTCCTTTTACATGCACCTTTACTACGGATGAAAGTTCTCTTATCATCTTTTTGCAGGAAGCAATGGAAAAGGACTTAATGGACCGGACCACAGAACCTGATATAAGCTTAAAAGCTTTCTTAGCTGATGCTTACTTGCACCCAATTTTCCGATCTTTCGAGGAAGAGGAGTTGGTAGAGGTCAGAGTTGATAAAGTTCGAGTTGACAGACACCAAACTGATGCTGAAAATGGCCAAACGAGAGACGATCTCACCTCCCCACCACCTCATGTACATCAGCGCACGTCTCCGCCACACCATAGCTATCGACCTGCCTCACCGCCGCACGACGTATATCAACATGGCATACCCGAATTCGAGTACAACATCTCTTCCCCTCCCCATTATGGCTATCATTATGAAGCAGAGCCATGAACCCCAAGGTACTAAAATGCTTCGAAACAACCTGTAAATTATTGATTTGTCAGTATTAAATGTCCTGCGACAAGGAAGCAGAAATCCTTGGCACTAATTATGTCCCCAGTTCTTTTACTTGTCATATTTTTAAAATGGGTTCCTTTGCTTTTTCTTCTAGGAATTTGGTCCCTTTCTACTTGTCCCCTATTATCAATTGGACTTATAATTTTCAAATCACACATTTAAACATATTAAAAATTGCATTCTATTGTTTCAAATCATATCTAAGGTTACATTTTGTTTTTATTTTTGTATTATTTTAAACGGGAAGTTTTACAGTGCGACACCCTTAATATACGACTAAGAAAATGTGCTACCGGTTTTGTTATTTTTTTAACAAAACCGGTAAAAAATTACCTAAAACATTATTATTTCCACCTAAAACATTAATATTTTTAACAATTAGGGTAAAGTGTCTAATAATAACAAAACTGGTAGTGTTTTATCAGATTTGTTAATAAAATTGGTAAAGCGCCCAATAATAACCAAACCAGTAGAAATAATAATGTTTTCGATAATTTTTTTACTTGTTTTGTTAAAAAAATAATAACAAAATCGATATCGTCTTTTTTTAGCCGTATATTAAGACGTAATCATTTCCCCTTTTAAGTTTGGCCATTGACTAAATTGAAATAATGATGTGACATGATATAATAATAGTAATAGTCTATAATAGTTTGTCTTCAAAACTTACATATTCTATTAAATCGATCATAATTTAATAAATCTTCAATGTTAAAAAATTCTATCAATTTAGTCTTCGATTTAATTTGAAATAACTGGACAATTTAATAATAATTTAATAATATTTTTAAATGTTGATAATTTGTTGAATTATTTTGAATTATAACCAATTTAATAGAATACGTAAGTTTTGGGATTAAAATTTTTATTATATCATGTCACAGGATTATTTTTGTTAAGTAAACCGTTAAACTTGACAACATGATGCCAAAATAGAAACAAACCGTAACTAATTATGATTTTTTTTAAAAAAAAATTTAGTTGAGTGATCAAATCATAAATGTGAAACTAAATGAAGTGCCAAATAAGTATTTTACCCTAATTTATTTAAAAAAAATAAGCAAACCGTAGTACTTGGTTACGTATACAAAAACCGAGCCCTACTGTGAAACCAATTTAAGTTGACACCAATCAATCAAACTTGAAACCCACAAAATTTGGCATTAGACCAAGGTTTCAAATCGCGATCGCGGTCGCGTTTTCGATTATTTCGGATTTACCGTGATTGCGACTGTCGCGGGCGTTATTGCGGCCGTCGCGGGCGCTATTGCGGCCGTCGCGGGTAACTCGGACTGCGACGAAACCACTATATCGCGGCCAAAATCACGGTCGCGGACCGTTTTTTAAAACCCTGCATTAGACATTTAGCGAGACCGGCAGTTTCCTTCTAATAGATCACACAGGTTTTTTCCCCTCTTAGTCACAAGGTTTCGCTTTGATTAATACAAATCAACTCGTATCGTCATCTAATTTTGATGGATGAGTCTTCCAAAAGATTTTTTTGTGTACAGAAAGACAAACTAATAATGTATCAAACTGTTTACCACAACTAACGCACTAAAAGAAACAACAATCTGATATTGTTTGATGGTAATGTTATTTGGCGTCCATACAAACTTCTGAAAACACCCTAGTTTCCTCTCATGGTGAAATGGAGAGTTTCTTAGAAATTTTGATCTCTCCTGGCAAGTTTTCAATGGTGAAGACTCCCATGAATGTCGTTTTCTATCCCTAATCACCATCATTCCAATTCATTTTCTTTTACTTGTGTCACATTTATGGCAAAGCCAAGCAACCTCCACAGGATCCCTCGAAACCCAACATTTCCTCCTCCATCATCTCTCAAAAGGTAAGCATATCTCCTTTTTTTTATAGTGAAGGAAAGCTCTGTTTCACTTTTTATATATATAGGTGTTTGGGGTTTTGCAGTTGGTTGTTTTGCTTGGGATAGTTCCGGCAATGGATAAGTTATTGAAGAAAGCTTTTTGACTGCTGATATGAAGTTTCCAAGTGCATTATTCGGAATGTTTTCTATATTTTCTGTTTTGGTCATTCCTGATACTACTGTCCCTGCTGCTGCAACAAGTTTGATGAACTTTTTTGAGCCAGCGCTCTTGTCCACTCAGACATGGCTTCCACTGTTCTATGTTCCCGCTTTGGTGGTTCTGCCACTTTCTGTTATTAGAGATATTCCTGTTGCTTCAGGCCTCAAGATATGCTTCATTATAGGTATACTACTAAAAGCTTTCTGATCAAGTATTTTCTTTCTTTCCAATTTAAATTCTGTAAAGGGTGTTACTTTCTGAGTTGTTGGTTCCTTTCGGATTCACTTGTCACTAGATGTCATATTCTTCGTTCCAAATGCATCACTTGCATCCCCACCGTTCTAGGCTACATGGGGGTAAAATTTCATGTCCCTCTTTACATCAAAACCATTTGAGCAAAGTCTGTCTTGAACGAAGTTAATTTAACTAGATTTATTCTTCTCATTTTCAGGTTGCCATCTGATGTGATAAAGGTTTTTCATCCAATTTTTTGTTGTGCACTCTCTGCAGCCAAGGTGCCTGAGGCCCTTCCTTTTTGTGCCATTGCTTATGGTCTCACTGGTATATTTGGCTCGTTGCTTTGCTCAGTTCCAGCAGTTAGGCAAAGCTTGCTCGCATTTGTGGGCTAACATAGGGGTGAGCATTTGATCAAGTTGAGTTCAGTTTAATAAAAAAAATTGAGTTATTTGAGTTGACGAGTCGTATTTTATAACTCGAACTTAACTTGAAATTTTTTCGAGTCGAGTTATTCAAGTTTCTATACTAATTTTATTATAATTATTTATACTATTATGACAAATATTTGTTCCAATTTTATTATAATTAATATATATATATTATTTTCACATTATAATTTTATATTTTAAAGTAAGTATTTTGAGAGTAAAATATTGATGAGAGTATAAAGGAGTCAAGGATTTGATGAGAAGATAGAATTTGCAAACAATTGTAGTCAAATGTCAAATTGAGTAAAATGCAAAGTTAAGGGACTAAATAAAAAGAGAGAGTACATTTGTTTTAGTAAAAAAGTAAGGATCGAAGTTACATAGGTATTCCATTGTGGTATATGAGCACGTGGTTCAAATTTGGTAAAAAAACAGACTTAATATAAAAGGATGATTTAAAGAAATAAATAAATAATGAGAAATTGAGAGACTAAATTGAAAAATAAAAAATATTATCAAAAAAGAATTGAAAGTACATATGTATTATATGATTATTTAGGAGTTCATGATTCAAATTGTGTAAAAATTGGACTTAAAATGAAGGAAAAATGGAAGAAATAATGAAATTAGGGAATAAATCGTAAAATTGTCAAAATACTTAGTCAAATTTTCAGTTTTTTGAGTGACTCGAAATTTCAAAATTTCAACTCGAACTCGAAAATCGAATTGATAATTTTAGTTGACTTGAATAACTTGAAATCGAAAAAAAAATCAATTTTTCGAGTCGAATCAAGTTTTATTCACCTCTATTAACACCGTCAATTAGGGATGTGCAAAACTTGACTAGATTCAAAAAACCGAATTTTTTGACTCGATTCAACTCGATTCGAATTGAGTTCGAGTTACAATTTCATAAACTCGACTCGACTCGAAAAATTTTCAAATTCAAATCGAGTTGTAAAATGCAACTCGAATAACTCGAAATTTTTAGTGATTAGTGGATGATTTATTTTCAAGTTTGACTCGAGTCTTTGGACTTTGTATGATATATGTATATCACATATGAAAAAAATAAAGAAATATATTTGTATTGTATATATGGTTATAGAAAATTACTTAAATTAGAATTAAATAATATTATAATATTATAAATATTTACAATTAAATTTAGAGAGAAACTCGAAAAATCGACTCGAAAAAATTTCAAATCAAGTCATAGTTGTAAAATAAGACATATCAACTAGAACAACTCAAAAATTTTTAACTCAACTCGATTAAACGCTCACATCTCCCGTCAATTATTCAAAAGTTATTACCATTTTTATCACATCAATAAAAATCGTTTCCTAAAAAAATATTCTGAAAAGTGTTTAAAAAAAAATACATTTGTCTGTGACATCAAAAAGATTTCAATTCAAAACACAATTTAAAATGAATATCATAGTGAAAAATAATTTTAATGGATGATGTTCGAGTAGAAAAGGCACATATGCTACTCCCTTATGCAAATCTGCTATTGTTAATACGAGGGCTGATAAAAAAAGAGTCTTTCGAGAGAGACGAAACTCTTACTGAGGTAAAAGTTCTTGTTTTTGTTTTTGTTCAATTTACTCGTAAACTCGAGATTTGAGAAAAGTCAAGCAATAGATAAGAAACGAATATTTATTAAATATTTAGGCAAAGATGAAATAGCAAGTTCAGTTACAATGCTTTTGCCTTTTGGTGCTCACTGTCACTGCTCAGAGATACTGAAAAACCTTCACAGGCTTAACAATTAATGGTGGAAACTTTCTTTTGGAGATGTTATTTGCTCTTAGATTTTTCAGCTCAGAAACTTGCCTTGAACTATCTCCCGCTAGATCTTACCAAGCTTGTGAGTCCCTTTCATTCCTGTATACCCGTAGCTTTTAGTGCTTAGTACCATCTTTTCCTTGATGGGTTTCTCACTTAACGGTTGCTGGTTATAAATCTGATGTCTTTCTGCTTTTGATTTTTTTTAGGCTGAGATATGGGTTTATGCAGTATGTTATCAGCTGTTTATTTCTTTTATGATTGCATTGATGCTTCTCCTCAAATGGGTTTTTGTTGATAGATCAGGGTTTAGGGTTGTTTCATATCACCGTGGCCTGCCCTCTGCCTTTCTTATTTGTTTGTTTTAAAATGGGGTTTGCTTGGAATCTTCTCTGTTAGTCATCAAAAACTTGTCTCTAACTTTATACCTCGATAGGTTTGCTAAATTCTGTTCCAGTTAGCCGTTTACTGAAGTTGAGATAGCTTAGTTGGATGTAGTGTGCTTTCATCTTGTTCTTCTTCTGATTCTTGCACTTATTGATATGTTAAAATCTCTTCAGTTTCCTTTGAAAAAGATGTATATGTTCATGCATGCAAATAGAGAGTAGAACATTGAAGGGTATGCGACTTAAGAGGAGGAGCTTTGATTTTTTTCATCTTGAACGCTTGAAAATCGTTTGTTGTCCTGAGATAATCATAGAAAATTCTCATGTGTCTATTGGAATTTTGTTTTTGTTATTGTTTTGCTGTAGAATCAAGTAATAGCTATGAAGATGAGGTCTTATTTGGATAAAAACTCGATGTCTGAAACCAACATAGGATCAGCCGATTCACCTTTTTCTTGGCTTTATCATTACAACCCCACATCCAAACCTGGCTTAAGCTCTCTGCATCGACGCCATGAACCTGGTCTTGTTGTTTCTCCCATTCGCACCATTTGTTCGACAACTGAATCAGGGAACAAAAATGATTGGGAGACTAAAATCACACAGGTGGGGAAACAAAAGTCTTCTGTGAAGGGCTCTAATCAAATAGCATCCAAGGTTCTGGGGCCAAAGCAGCCCATTAAGAAACCCTCTGTTCCCAAGAAGGCGAAGGGACCGAACATTCCGGAAGCTAAACGTGAGAAGAATAATCTCAATGTCGATCTTGACAGAACAAAGTTCGATTTCTCCGGGGTGCCTTCCCCCATTTGCTCTTGTACAGGTGTTGCAAGAGTGTGCTACAAGTGGGGTGCCAGTGGCTGGCAATCTTCGTGTTGTACCATTAATATATCGGAATGCCCTCTTCCCATGAGTCCCACCAGGCCGGGTGCTCGTGTGGCTGGGAGAAAAATGAGCAATGGGGCATATTTCAAACTTCTTCTGAGACTTGGAGCTGAAGGTTATGATCTTTCTCATCCTGTTGACTTGAAAGACCACTGGGCCAGGCATGGCACAAACAAGTTCGTTACGATCAAATAGAGATGCAGATGTCTGGTAGCTGCGCATGATATTTAGTAGTTTCATAAATGTATTACTCTGCTTTCTAGTTTGAATGTAATTTACGGCTTTCCCGGAAAACATGAATTCTGAAAATATTTGTAGCCAAGTATTGGGTCCTCTGTTCATCTGAGTTTAATGTATGCTCCATATACGTATGACATGCAAAAATTTAGATATCAAAAGTGGTGAAGGTCAGTCATAGATATAGGAAGGGATGTCCTAGTTAATTTGTCTGCCCGGGTTTTTTATTTCTATCATGGGTTTATTATACATTCTTTTAGCATGAGGTGAATCACCAAAAATCGTTTCAAGAAACCAAGTTTGAAGGATTTAAAGCCTTATCATTCCATTTCCAAGTGTAGAATTCCCAGAAGATCGAGGGAGGGAGATTTCAGTTTTTATATTTGACATCAGGTTGCAGAAAGATTGCACCAAATGCAAGGAAAACGTCACGTTTTGGCCACTCTTCCATATCCAAATCCTCTAATTTCGAGTAAAAAACCCAAGATCGTAGCATCATAAATGGTTTCAAATTCCGGGGTAATAGAAGAGGAGAGATAATTTCAAATATGCTAGTCTTCTATGAACTTTTTAAGTTGAAATTCAACTCTCACTTTATTTCTCTATATCACAGGTCTAAACTGAATTACAACAGAAAATAAATACATAGGGTCATACTCAATTCTTATGAAGCAACAGCAGCTCAACACTCAAATGAAACTTGAAAGAGGATAATTGTATTGAACCAAAGGTCTAGTCCAATGTATGCAATCTCAGGCTTTGGTTGCTTCTAGCGAAGCTGCAGTTTTGCTGGAGGTAATTTGCTCGTAGAGATCTCTTATCTTCAATCCGACGATGGTTTGGAAGAAGCCTGTTCCGTTGTTACTTCCGGGGAAATCAGCATGCTTCAGCATTTGCTGAGTTACTTCTCCATAGAATTTGGTAGAGGTGTTGCTCAAATGGCTTTCAACATAAATAAGTTCATCTAATCTGTCAAATTGCCCGTCCATCTCCAGAATAGAAACCTAAAGACAAGCAATGAAACCATCAAATTCTGTCGATCGAGCACAGTCAGCTAGATGGAGAAGGAATGTTATGGTACCTCGTTGCTGAAGTAAGCGTCGGGGCCATAGTGGAATTTGATGCCAGGGTAAGAGCAAGTGAGCTTCCTTCCGCAGGGTATCCATGAGATGGTTGAACCTTCATCGAACAGGTAAACTGGACTGAAATGTTCCACCCCTTCTTTCATTATCAACCGAACTCTCAAAACCTTCCCTTCATTGTCGTCCGGAATGAGCTGAGTAGGCAGCACTTCGATCACGGCATCAGCATATTGCTTCTGAGGATCTGCATCCACCAAAAAGACAACAATGTAACAAAACAAGACATTGCTAAAGGTGACAGCTGCTCAAGCAGTTGGGGCATCGACATGGTATTGTGTATTTTTGTAGTTTTTTTTTACCGATATAGGCATCGAAATCGGGTTTCCTGGATTCAATACTGGCTTTGATGCTTTCAAGGCTGTGCCCTCTCTCAGCCATGTCCCTCTGCAACGTTTTCAACAAAGTCAGGGTCACGCTAATGAACAAAATCCAGGCATTGAATTTGCAGAACGTTTTTACATTAGCGTACAAAGTTCATCACCTGAATTTTCCATGCAAATTTGACCTCATTGCTGATGTCCAAATAGATGCTGAAGTCCAAGAGATCCCTCACACGCTCATCGAACCTATATAGTAGGACAAAGGTAGCATTCCGAATAAATACCAATAAAGACATAAAAAGAACTATTAAAATATACTGCAAACAATAAAAAAATAGGACTCGTAATACAGTAACATGCAGGGAAGATATTTCCAAATTTTTATGAAGAGATGTGTGGCTGAGAAGAAGAGAGAATTAAATGACCGGCTTTAGTTTCATTTACTTACATGGGGTGTAAACCTTCGATGACAAGGATCTTAGGAGGCTTAATGAGCTCAGGAGGATCCAAGAGACCGGTAACATGGTTGTAGATAGGTTTGTCGACTGCAATACCGCTCTTGAGGGCCTTAACTTGCTCGTACATGAGGTCAAAGTCGTTGGCTCTTGGGTCAAGTGCCGTCACCCCCTTCTCTTTCCTTCCGGTTCTGTCCAGTGAATGATAGTCGTCTAGGCATATCACGGTGGTCATATCGCTAATGAGTGTGTTCGAGTCAGGGTTGCCTCCCTTGGGTGGCTCGGCAGCTCCGCCGAACACACTCGTTAACCTCCTCATGAAGGTACTCTTCCCACATCCCGAGTCTGCAGCCAAACCGATCACCACGGTTTGTGAATCAGCGGCTGAGCATGTTATCACGCATGAGCCGCCGCCTCTCTTGGTGGTTCTCCTATAGAAAACTACTTGCTTTTGGTGGAAACCCAAGTGGGTTTTCGCCGGAGCGGAGATTGAACACGTTGAACTCAGAGACTGTGTGGTGCATACCGTCGGAACTGCCATTGTTTTCAGCTCTCTCTCTGCTGGGGAATAGAAATTTAGAGAGCCTGTTTAGAAGAGAATGCTGAAATGGTGGTTACATGGTAATAAAAAGAACCACACATAAAAACGAGTTTGTCGTCTTGTCTCCTTTTGATTTCCAAGGGAAAAAAATTGGAACACAAAAAAGAAGAGATAGAAAAGGTTGAAGAAAACAGGTGGCAGTGAGTGCTGAGTGCTTAAGCTGACGTGTCTTTTGTTTGTGAGTTTCTTTGTCTGCCCCTAGGTTTGGACAAAGCTTGAAGATTATAATGAGGCGAGAATGAAAGGGAGAAAGAAGTAATTTCAATGGCAAAAAAGTGAAACTATTGAAGATATTTAAAGCTATGGGGGAAAATATTAGAATTTTGTTGATGGGGGGAAGCTTGGTGGAGGTTTGTTTTAGTTAAGGATAATACATGCCTCGTGGCATGAAAGGGGTGGCTAGTTAAAGACAATGGTGGAGGGTTACATGGAGACTGTGAACCATGCAATGACTTAGCCAAATTCTTTCTTCGGACTGTTCCTTTGCGAGGCACTGTGGTTATAATTCTCACCGTCTTGTGATTTGTGGGTTTTTCCAGCAGCATAAAAATATTCTATGCGAATATAGCATATTTGTCTGCCTTTATACCATAATCACTAATTCAACTACTATTAGTATTGTTGTTATTTGAATATTAGCAAAAATAAAACAAATTTTAAATATTTTTATAATTTGAAGTATTTCAAAAGAAATACTTGTATAACATTTCACGTGTACTTCATGTTATTTTTATATATTTTTATAATTTATAAGATAAATATTATCATGTTAACAATCCCACATCAGTGTTGTTAAAATTTAAATTAAGGTTTTGTTAAAACATATTATTTGACTTTTTTAAAACAAGGGCAAACTATATCAGTGACCAACCCACTTTAACCTCTCTTCATTTTAACCACTATTTTTGAATTCTTATCAATAGACCACCCAACTATTTAAATGTATTCAATCAGGTCACTAACCGTTAACAATTAACATAAGTGTTGATGAGGGCACTTAATAAAATTAGTATAATTTACATTTAGTCCTTATTACTTACACAATCTATCAAAGTGGTCATAATTTTAAATTAATTCAATATTGTTGAACCATGTTTTATAATGTTTTGATATAATGTTTTTAGACTTGAATTGAATTTATTCAAAGTTTTCAAAAATAATTCAAAGTCCATTAAAAGTGAATTTGAGTACAAAATTGATTTTCACGTACGAAGTACTGATATTGTTCTTACAGTATCGATACTATATGAATAATATTGATATTGTTTATGTGGTACCAATACCCCAAGTAAGAGAAATATCGATACTCTCAAGGTAGTACCGATACTATCAGCTTGCTCAAATTCCAAATACAAAATAATTACCGATACTACTTTACATAGTAGTATCGATACCATGAAAGATAATATCGATACCATCAGGCCCAACGGCTAGTTTTATTTAAATATTACAAAGGTAATACCGATACTCCCTATAGGAGTACTGATACCCTCTGTAAAAGAAGTGAAATTTTGTAGAGAAAACATCCCAACGGTTAGAAATCACTCCCAACGACTAAAAACGCCCACAAACTCATTCCATAGTTCATTTTTATTGAAAATAACACTATTCAAAGAAAAAAAGGGGTCAAAAGACATCATTCTATCCTGGCCATTGAGATTTGAGATCTTAGGTTTAAGCGGAGGTGCACCCCTTTGACCAAAAAAAATTGATGTTATTAGAATATTCTTATTGAAACGGCCATATGGTCTCTTGATATTTGTAACTATATATTTTAATATTTAAAGTTTTGCCATCCCTAAAGCAACATGTGATTGTAAAGAAGAATAAAACAAGGATGATAGATCAACTAACTACCGAGTAGAAAGATATATTTCAAGCACATTTTTCCCTTGCATTGGCAGAAAGATGAAACAAGAGGTAGAAGGACCAAGCATTCACTTACAATTTAGAAGCAGGTAGAGAACATGCACTGCCTCCTTTTGGACAAGCAGCCCAGCATCCTTTTTCAGTAGTAGTGAAATACTTTCAAAGACTTAACTGAAGCAAAACATAGTCCAAGTAAAATAGCTTTTAGAACATAAAAGTTGCTATCATCCTAGAAATTTGGAAAAAGGAGCAGCATACAAACTAACTATTCTCTCTCTGTGTAAGTATCACTTCTCATCAGAATCACAGTCATGATGAAGACTGCTTCCAATCTTACACATTCTTCGCTACTCTTCGTCAGAATGAGACGCATAAATTCAAAGAGATAAATCCAGTTTATATGGGAAAACATTGATGCAGAGCTGGTACAGTCCCGTCCTTTCTTGCACATATATTTTGCTTCAGGAGATCTTACTCCACCTAGCATGCCACTTGAAAAGGACCCATCCATGCCAATGCAAACCCGATCTCTAGTTTCATATCCAAATATATCATCAATGCCGCTCCCAGAGTGAAGATGTTTAATCAAGAAGTTTTCCCTGAGTAGAGTGCACTGGAAAGATCAAATCAAAATTCATAAGCACACAATGCAGGTCAACATTTAGAAGGTCTTCTTTACTAAACCATAGAGCATTTACAGCAAAACAAAAGCATCCAATATAAAAATGGAAGAGAAAAGTACAAAATTACTCTTCACATACAATACCAGCAGAGACTATTTGAAATAAGGCATAGGAAAAACAATTTTGAGCACTGAAATTTCCTTTTTCCATTATATATAAAGATAATAATATGGGAAGAACTGCATAAACCCAACCCGATTTTCTGTATATAGAAAGAGATTGATTATACTGGCCAAAAACAAATCATGATTTAACAAGGGCACATAAAAACCTCATGTTAAAAAGAAAACAAGTACAAACAACATACAAGTACTAATAAATTATGAGGTACTCTTTTCTTCCTTCCAATTTTCGTTAACATATGTCTTAGTATGTGGATGAATACGAAGGGAGTTTTAACGAGACCTCCAACTTTTATAAAAAAAAAAACATACAAGTACTAGCCATACCTTCCTCTGGCCTCTGGATTCCCTTTCAAAAGTCACAAGATGCTTCAACAATACATGTAGTAAATGCAGTGATCTATAGACAATAACTACCTGCTTCAACAAGGATGATCCTCAGGAGTTGCCAATAAAATAAGTAAAAGTTCATATTATGAACCAAAAGAACACATCCACACAAATCCTAGATAATTGTACAAGGCATAATCAACCACCTTTTTTGTTTATCATCTCAGGGCTGGTGAATGGGGGAGGGGGAGTGAGGGGGTTCAGGGTAGACAAAGCACTGTTCAAGTAGTTTTCTATTGCCATATGATGTTAGTAATGGTAGAGAATTTCTTTCAGAGGTTACATTACAAAAATGTTGTGATACAGGGTCATCCAACCAATCCTGCCTACTATATTAGAAATCAGCAAATAACTAGTGATTAGTAAAGCCAAGGGTGATATTACGCTCTCATGTTAACTAAGCAGCTAAGTACATAAAGAATACTCATCTAAAAAATTATATAATACTAGAAATGGGAAACAGCATTTACTCATAAGCTCCACAATTAGCTCTAGATTGATATAGAGGCTCTTATCTATTACAAGGTCTTAAGGACCAGAAAAATCATCACAACTGCCATCTAATAAATGCGCGATGAAATCACTATAATATCTTTTTATCTTCCAAATTTTTAACATGAATATTGCATGTTAATTTAGTATATATTAAGCAATGAAAATCAATTATATCTTACGTGAGAAAGGTTAACAGCACATTGCTTCAACAACTAAAATTACAGATTCCTTAGCGATACTCGTACCAAGTTCAAATAAGAAATTTGCAACTCACATTTTCACCAGTACAGAGATCAAACAAAGATTCAAATAGAGCTTGCAGCTGCAACATTCCACTACTGGTATGCAACATGTAAATAAATCAATCAGCACAGAAACCATTAACTCTTAAAATCACCATTAGCTCCAAATAGAGATCAATGTAGCAAATAAGGTCATGATCCCATGTCTAATTTCTATAGATCTAATGAAGATAAATAATTCATTCTATCTTAAGATTGGAATTTTAGGATACCCTTGGCACTAAAGTAAGATTGTTGTCATTTGGAACTGGAGCCCACATCTTTTTAAGTAGCAGAAATAGCCCAACTTCTAATCAAGAGTTGAGGCCGGCTGTTATATTTGACCCTCCCCAGTCCCCAGACCTCGCAATGTGAAAGCCTAATGAACTAGTATGCACCTTTATCACAGTGAAACTTTATTTTTGGATGTAGAGATTAGGAGAAAGAGGTTAGAATAGTTAGGTAGTTAGGAGTTATCATGAAAACTCTCATAAGAAATCTTGTTTTTAATTGCTGATGTCTCATACTTTTTTTGCCCTAAAGATGGTATAAGTAGTAGCCATATCAAAGTTTAAACAACCATAAGAAACTATAGGATTAAGCAAGACCTTTTTCAGAGCAGATTAGAAATGAGATACTTTTGCAGCTTCTGCACTAAGAAAAGGATGAATGGAGCTCTTCATTAGCCATGTCAACAGAGCTCTTAACCGAATGTAGTTTCACTGTTAATGAACCCACACAGGACATCAATATCTTCAGAACAAACTGCAAATAACTTGGATATTAGATTTCTTCCAAACTTTTGCTCGCTTAGCAAACCCCAGATGTCCAGCAACTTCTCTGAAAGAACAAGAGAAGCATTTAAATCTGTCTGAACTCTAACTGCCTGACAGCTTGACTTGACTACCAAAGACGAGGAACATAGGCATGAAAAGAATATGTTAAAAATTAAATTAGAAAGGCTGATTAAACAATTTCAAATATGTCTCTGATTAACTTCTCACCTGTACGTAGACCAATCTGATCGTTGAAAGATTTTCTATTAGGAATTTTTTGTACAACCCCATCATGAGTGGCTACAGGGACTCCATGTTCTCTGTCATTGAAGCTGATGTCTTTCAAATTAGCAACTTTCGCCTCATTGTTTGAATTGGAAACTGTAGCATGATCCTCCTTGTTTCTTTCCTTCTTAAGTTCTGAACACTCATGTTCCTAAACGGATGGGGGGGGGGGGGGAAACACTTGTAGCATGAAAAAGTTGTTCACTTAAATGATCTCCAAAAGGTCCAATCCCAAACAAGTAGAATATTTTTCACCAATACTTTATTTCAACATTCTAGCAACAATTGCTTTCAGATATATTTTATTTGACATACAAATTCATACCATAGTCATTCAGAATAAAATACACATACCAGGTCTGCAAGCTGCCTTGAAACACGACCCAACTCCTGCAACAATGAACAATATTTCAATTAAAATTCTCTTTTATAGGTAATATCTCCGATACTCTCCTATTAATCTTCCAAATACCCATGTCAAAATCAGTAAAAGCATCAATTTCACAAAAATAATAATAATATTTAATTTTTTGATAAGATTTGAAGGCCTCATTAAAAACCACCTTCTTGATTAATGGAGCTTATGAATAAGCTTCTTAATCAGCGAAAGATGAAAAAGAGCGCATTAGAACTTTATTAAAATAAAGTAGGATTACAACCTAGATAAAATCCCATAAACCCTTACAAATAGTCATAACTCCCTTCTGATTAAGAACAAGAAACCCACTTGATCAGTACAAAACACATAAAATTCAGCCTATACCAGCCTTTGATAAGGCATCAGCATCCGAATTAGCTGACCTAGCAACCCATCTAACGATCCCCCCACAAACCCTAAGATTATCAATAATATCCTTAACAATAACAGCATACACAACTGGATAAGAATCAACAATGCTAATCCAGTCCACTGCTACCTTACTGTCGCTTTCAACAATCAGTCGAACATTATCCCTCCCTTGAATAGAAGCGACGAAAATCAGACCCCTTTGGATAGCTTTGAGTTCCTTTAATGTCGGAGGTCCCGGGCCATCAGGCTCCTGGAAATAACCTAAAATTGCTCCCGAATGATCCCTTAAAATACCTCCTAGTCCGCTTTTCAACCAATCACTGGTGGTGGTAGCATCCACATTCAATTTTATGAAGCCTATAGGAGGAGGAAGCCAGGGTAATACAGAGGACTTCATGAAATTGTGGACAAGTGTAAATCCCCTAAAGAAGGGTCATAAATTAAAAAGTCTTTAGGAATAGAGATGTCCTTATACTTAGCTAAAAACCACGAGGCAAGCCTAACCCTTGCTAAGAAGAACAGTTCTAACTGGTCCAGCTTTCCCCCTTCAAAAATAATAAAATTTCTGGTTTTCCAAATAGTCCAAATAACAGCCCCAGGAATGAAAGACCAAATTGTAGAATTAGACTTTAACTCATCCCAACATATTAGAAACGTTTTAGCATCTGCATGAAGAACATAACTGAAATTCCAAAACTGTAAAAATTTGTTCCATAATAACCACACTACTGGACAAGTAAAGAATAGATGCGAGGATGACTCTTCAACCTTTTTACAAAGAGGACATAAAACATCATCAATACCTTGAACTCATCTTTTAATCAATTCAGATTTAACAGCCAGTTTTTGCTTCACAATTTGCCACAGTAATGTTTCAACCTTTGGTGGTACTACTCCTCGCCAAACAATTTTCAACCAGAATTGAGACTCCTCTGAACCTGTAGCACATCTCTTAACACAAGAACTGACTGAAAACATACCATCGCCACTACCTTTCCAAAGCAAGCCATCCTTGGAATCTTTAGACAGATAAACATGAGAAATAATGGTCATCAAATTACACCATTGTTCCATCTCTCAATCATTTAAATTTCTTCTAACTTGAACATCCCAAAACCAGCCCGATGAATGGAATTTCCCAAACTCACATAGTTTTCCTTAATTATTAGCAGCAATCGAAAACAGTCTTGGGAATAGGACCTTTAACGGATAATCTGAAGCCCAAACATCCTGCCAAAAAAGAATGTGTTTACCATCCCCAACTTGAAAATAACATAAAGAACGGAACTTTGAACCAAATGAGTCTTGCTTGAAATAGTTATTAGTCACTGATCTCCACTGCCAAGAAATAGAACATGGAAGCTTACTATCGAACAAAAGCCTTGAGGAATCAAAGTTATATTTAGAACAAACAAACCTCCTCCAAACAGAATTTCTTTCGTTTGCAAACCTCCAAGACCATTTCCCTAGCAATGCTCTGTTCATGTAATTCAGATTACGAACTCTCTATCCTCCCTCATTCTTGGGTTTACACACTTCCTCCCAATTAACCCAATGAATTTTATTTTTACCCATGCCACCTCCCCATAGAAAATTAGCCATAATATAATTGAGAGACTTAAGAATTGAAGCTGGAATCTTAAACATCGACAGATAAAACGTAGGCAGTGAGCATAAAACAGATTTGATCAAAACCAATCTTCCAGCTAATGATAGAGTAGCTGCCCTCCAACCTGCCAATTTTGATTGAAAGTTCTGCACTACCGAATCCCAAATAAATGAGGAATTCTTTATTGCACCTAGTGGAAGACCTAGATAGTTAGAGGGGAAACTACCAACATCACAGCCAATTGAATCAGCCCAATTTTGAACCTCCTCTTGAGATACGTTTACTCCAAACAGTCTGCTCTTCTTTAAGTTAACTTGTAACCCTGACATCACCTCAAAAACTCTTAGCACTCTCTTAACATTCAAAATCTGCATCTTCGAAGCCCCACAAAAGTAATTAAATCATCCGCAAACTGTAAATGTAATAGATTGACAGCCCCTTCCTCCTTGCCAACTTTCAATCCGGAAAATAAACCCTCTGAAACAGCCCTTAGGATTAATAAATTCAGCAATTCCCCTACTAGATTAAATAATAAGGGAGAGAGTGAACAACCCTGTCTAAGCCCCTTGGCCATTTGAAACTCCTCCGATGAAACCCCATTAACTAATACCGAAATCGAAGCTATAGTGACACATTTCCTGATCCATTCGATCCAGGTAGAGCCGAAACCCATTTTTTCCATCACCATGAACAGTATAGGCCAATCAACAATATCATAGGCCTTCTTGAAATCAACTTTAAAAACACAACCCTTTAACCCTTTTTTCCTCCAATAATCAATGCCCTCATTAGCAATGAGAGAGCAATCCAAAATTTGACGACCGGGTATGAAAGCAAATTGAGTCGGGCTTATGATTTCTCCTAAACAACTTCCGAGCCTCCTTGCAAGACACTTGGATAAAATCTTGTAAACTCCTCTAACTAAGCTAATTGGTCTAAAATCATCTAGACTCCCATTGTTAGTTCCTTTAGAAATAAGAGTGATGAAAGTATGGTTGATACCATGCTCCCATTCCTTTCCCAAATAGAATTTGTGAAACAAATCCATAATGTTACCCTTTAGCACATGCCAAAACCTTTTGAAGAAGCCCAAATTCAAACCGTCTAGTCTCGGGGCTTTATTACTATCACAAGACTTTAAAGTCTCCCACACTTCCTCCTCAAAGAAATCCTTCTCTTAAAGACCACTTTGAACCAAGGAAATTCTAGGAAAAGTCAGCCCAATGTCTTCAACATCTAAAGTAGACCTCTCATTAAAAACTCTGAAAAAATGATCTTTAACAGTAGCTTTGATAACATCTGGATCTTGAGTAAAAGTCCCATCCACTTTTAAGCCATTCAACGCATTTTGATTTCTCCTCACCGAGGCACAAGTGTGAAAGTATCTTGTGTTTTGATCTCCATCATTAACCCACCTCTGTCTCGAATTTTGATGCCAAATCTGCTCCTCAATTCTATGTAGTCTCCACAGTTCTGATCTGCAAACACTTAACTCTTCAATTATCTCCTGTACCGAACTGTCAAGCCTCTGTTGTGCTGCCTCCTCAAGCTTTTGAATTTTATTTTCTAAATCTGAAATAGCAGGGAACTTGTTTTTCTTCCCTGTCCACTGTTTAATGGCTAGTTTAGAGTTCTTTAGGATACTAAGAATTCCCGGTTTTCTCCTGAGCTTCTTGCAATCTGTGATAGTTTGATTAAACATTTACTCAAAACCAATTTCCTCCATCAAATAGTTGAACAATCTAAAAGGCTTATTTCCCCAATTAGATCCTCCATTATGTAACAACACAACATTGTGATCTGCAATTGAATTGGGAATAAGCGACTGAGTAACCTCAGGAAAAGAAGCCAAGAATTGACCATCCACCAAGAACCTATCCAATCTAACAAATGTAGGATCATCTTGGTTATTACACCAAGTAAACCTTCCCCCTTCCATAGGCAGATTAATTAAACCTACAGACTGAATAAAATGAGAGAAAATCCTCATAGAGAATCTGTTATGAGCTCTACCTATTTTCTCATCTTCACACAAATAAACATTAAAATCCCCTCTAACACAAACAGGCAGATTCTGTGCAGAAATGAACATACTCAGTTCTTAAAAAAAACCTTTTTTCCTCCTCTATTGATGGTCCATATACATTAATAAGAACACTTCTGAACTGGTTAAATATGAATTTTCCTGTAATCGCAATGAATCTCCTGTTTATACAATGGTCTTCCATCTCAAACACTTTATCATCCCAACAACATAATAACCCCCCCGAGGAACCGATAGCTGGCGATTCAATAACCCCTTGGAAGCCATTTAACCCGTTTATTCTTAGAAAGGACCTTCGTAACTTCTCATCTTTGGTTTCTTGAAGCCAAAGAAAAGAATGATGAGAGTTTGAAACTAATCTTTGCACTGCTCTCTGTTTTTCCTTTTTACCCAAACCCCTAATATTCCATGAAATTATGGCTAAGTTATCCTTCATGAATAAAACTTGAAAACCCTCAAAATCTCCAATATGGCTCCTCAAACGGCCATATTACATCCCTTCTCTAAATTCAAAATTTTTTCCAGAAAAGCTTCATTCCCCTTCTTAAAAGAAACTCCCAAAATCTGACTAACTTTCCATGTAGCGATCGCTTCATCTAATAGATTTGAAAATTTTGGAGATGATGCTGTAGAAATAGTGACTTGATCTAAGGCATCCCTTAGCAACAATCTTTTAACTCTTCTGCTGTTTAGGGCTGAATGAGAGAAAGAACATCCTGCAGGCTCACCATCTGCACCATTAACACCAATTTCCAAAACTGAATTTGGATTCATTCTACCATGTATATTAGACTCTGCTATTTTAGAAATCTGTTGACTAAAAGAGCATAATTGATCTTTAACCGACTTTGAAACTGAAGCAACCCCATCCACATTATTTCCTTTCTAATCATTCCTATGCCAAAATTTCCTCTCCCTACTTCTACTGTAAACTCTGCTATATCTGGGCATTCTCCTCTTCACTAAAGGCTCACTCTTGGAAGAGAGCGAGCTTTTGTGCACAAACAAGGAGCGACCTCTGGAATGGCTTTTAGAAGACTCTGAATTCAGAGCTAACAACCTAAATTTAGATTCTATAGCCTCCACATCTTTATTGCCATATGGATCAGAATTTTTGCTGGCCTCCTTAAGTTGCTTCTTACCACTGCTTTCCTCTACTGGTCTTCTAATTTGGACCAGTTTACCAAACTTATTAATTGAGTATGCTGGCCCTGAAGGAAATAACTTAGAAGAATCCAGTCCAGACAGCTCATAATCATCCGTTTGGGCCTGTGACCCATCAGCCGAATTTTTTGAATTTCTAATACCCAAACCTGCAAAGTCTCATTCTCTGTTTTTCCCAACGTTCTGAAAACCTGACAGTCCTTATGTAAAACCCTTCCCATGTTTGGTAAATCTTGGAGAAAGTGTTTCCCCATCAGAGCCTGCTGAGCCGAAAGAAGCTCCCTCATTCAGCCAAAAGTCAACTTTTTGTCTGCCTTTCTCTGCTGATTTGACTGGACTTTCCTCAGATTCTGATAAATCCCTATCTTCCTCATCCTCAAATCTCAACTCACCACAATTTTCTCCAACTGCTCCGACCGCCGGAGAAGTTTTGAAAAACGGCTTTGAATCATCACAAATTGATCCAAACTTGATATTAATTCTGAACGATCTACCATAGGATCCAAGAGTAATAAATTCTGGCACATCAAAAGGGCTAGCAACTCTCAAAAGAATTCTCACAGAAGAGAGATCGTCCCTGTTCTTAGTGGAATCATGAATTTCTATCTTATTTCCCCATCTCCCATCTATTCGTTCTAAGAATGATTAATTCCAACATAACAAAGGAATCCCTAATAGCTCAACCTAGCAAAAAGCCACAGGGATGCCATCCTCATTCAGTAATAGATCCAATATGTCAAACCAAAAGCTTATAACATCTTTCTTCTTTGTCCATGCCTCCATCATCTCTTCATGCGAATTGAATGTCATTATGCAGGAGTTCCGAGCGTACCTCAGCCAGCGATCTGAACTTCAAAGCCATCATTAAAGAGAGACTCCTTAACTGACTTAAAATCAATGGAAAGCTTAATAATCCCCGTTAAAGATCTTTTGACCCAACTCGAACTCTCTGACGAAATATACATTTCCAGAATATTCTTCCTTACTTTCTCCCTATGACTCCCTTCAGAATGGAACTCCGTATGCCCCATTGCATAATTAGCCAATAAAACATCTTTATACGATCTGTCTTCCCTAACACTCCTGTAGGAAAGATCTATCTCTTTCAACTTTGAAGGTCCAGCTGCAGACGAAACTGGAACTGGTTTAACTGGACTGTTTTTCCCCGCTATCAGTGGACGAGCATCCTCATATTTTGCTACTCCAACTGTAATCCTTCTCCCATCTATCAATGATCCATTTAGCATATTTATCGCTTGATTTAAACCAGATTCCCGCTCAAACTGAACAAAAGCAAAAGTCAAAAATTTATACTTAGGATTCCTAGTTTCTTTTGGGGTGAAAACTCTTTCCAGAGCCCCCTGAGACGAAAAGATTTCCCTCAGCTCACGTCGGGATACTCTCCTACTGAGATTATCGACAAAGACCTTCCAAACCTCACCGGAAATTATCTTCCCTTTCAACTTATCTCTCTCTTCTTTTCTCTCTCCTACCATCTCTCTTCTTTTTTTCATCTTTAATATTTTTAGTTTTTAATATCATAGAATAATAATATTTAATAATTGACTTCATTTTTCCCCCCAACATAAAAGTAAACACAGTAACGGGAACTCAAAGTAAGCAAGACTGAAACATTAACCTTTAGGAGCTCGATTTCGAGATCCTCAGCGTTAGCAGAACTTCCATCGCGACGCACCGGAGTCGAATGAGTGGCACATTTAGCAATAAAGCCACTCGAATTCGAGGCGTCACCCAAATCTATTGGTATCTGGGAGAGCTCTCTCGGAGGCGAGTAAGAGATGGAATCAGTTCGAGATGGAGGCGACAGAAAATTCAGGGGTTGACGATGGAGGCGACTCCGGCGGTAAATAGGAAGAAGAAAAAGAAGAAGTGCGATTGTTTTGGTTAACATAAGAACAAGAAAGAGCAAACTCTTCAACTTGAATAAGTTCCTCCAAGAAACTTGCATCCCATTCTTCCAAATTTTCTTCGCTCATATTTCGCTTTTCTCCTACTCTTCTCTTTGTTTCTTCGCTCTTGCTCTGTTTGAGTGACCGAGTATTTTTTTCCCGCTTTTATTTTAATTTTCGGGTTGGCCCATTAGGCCCACTGATGAAAAATATATGGACAATTAAAATTGGCCCATTAGGCCGAGCGGAAGTATTAATTGGCCTATTAGGCCACCAATGATTTTATTTTGATATCTACATTAAATATTACAGTGCAGGGCAAACTCGTTCTGTCGACATCATGAGTTTGACTAAAAAATAATTTTAAAAGGACTCAGGGAAGTGGAACTTGTGGGGTTTAATATTTTAATATATTTTCAGGAAATCATTACGTCGACGTGATGAATCTCGGTTAAATATATATTTATTTTGAAAATCAAACAATTATTTAAGAGGACTCATCACGTTGACGTGACGGGTTCCTTAAAATATATTAAAATATTGGATTCCATGGGTTCCACTTATCTGAATTCATTTAAAAATAAATATTTTTAGATAAACTCTTTATGTCAACAAGATAATTTGTATTATAACATTTATCGTAGATACTACGAGAAAATCATGAGTGACTTAATGGACTGATTAATATTTCCGTCTGGCCTAATATAACAATTTAACCCAATTTTTTTGGGTTTCTCATTAATCCATCCCCCCTCAATATGGGATGAATCCATTATCTATTGAACTTAAAACACAGAAAATACACGTTACAAAACGAAACACACACAAAAAAATCCATTTGAATAAATAAGCCAGATAGTATATCAATTTAAGGTTTAGGGTTCCATTACATTTCTTAAAAATCAAAGACGGTGGACTTGCCAACTAGTCAGAGTCAAGCATCAAGTCCCTTCGAAATTCTTGTTGACACACATGAGATATGTAAATTGGAAGCATGGAATAAGAATTAATTCCAAATCCTCTCTTTAATATATTTGAGGCAAGTACAATTCCACATTGATTGAATCTTCAGAATGCACAAACTGGAAATACAGGCGAGTAGGAGAAAGAGAGAAGAACAAAGGAAGAAGATGCTTTGAAGAAAGAACACTTTCATATTTTATTGATAGAAATTAGATGAGCAAGCCCAATACAAACTAGACTATTTAAAGGGACCCATATAACTATCATTGGGCCCATCAGTTACAACGGCTAACAGCTTTCAGTTATTGCTTGACGGTAACAGGAAAGAAAGAAAAATGCATGAAAACAACAGCAGGGGAGGATTTGGGTATATTACTTTTCTATGATCAATTTGGCTCTTGCAAGTCCTTCGTTGATCTGGAACTGCTCCCCAAGACCAAAGTGAACCATCAACAACCAAAAGAAGGAGATAAGCTGTCCACCTTTGCTTACCTCTGCAGCGTGTGTATTTTTTCTGCAACGACTCGCCGCGTACGACACTAGTTCCACCCACACTCTGCTCATTATCATCCACTTATTCTCCTTGTCTTCATCGTCCATCCTCTTCAGCTCTTTGGCCAGTATGCTTGCACTGAAGAACACCGATTTGCTTCGGTCTCCCTTCACTTGCTCAGGTACAACATCCGTATTCACCGACAATATTTCTCCGCAAGGCTTCTTGTCTTCGTTTCGACGTAAATTCCGTCTCTGAAAGAAAATTCTAGCCTCCGCACACGTGTATCGGAATCTTATCTTCGCGATACCAGCCACGGCGGACATCATGGTCGGCTGAAATATGAGAAGATACAGCATGTAATCCGACAGTATTTTGCTGAAGTGCATGTATTTCAGATTCTCGCCACCGTTTTTCGACTTGGTCTCCTCCTTTTCAGTTTGGTAGCATAGATCAGTCGCAATGTGCCACAAGAGAATGCTCTCATCATATGGAACATCACTCACATACCTGAGTATCTTGCTACGATCGTGCTCAGAATCGGTATCCGTCAAAGCCCACTCGCCTCTGGCCGACGATATCCTCTTTGCAGTTTCTGGATTATCTGCGAACTCGGCTTTCTTCTTTAGCTCACTGAAGATGAATTCCCATAGCTCCTTAGTGAATGGCTCAAGGGACACATAAAAAAACTCATCCAGAGTATCTTCAAACCAGCTGTAAATTTTGGTAAACGGCCAGGAGAGAGTTTTTTTTATACACCCTGGAAAACTATTGCTGATACGCCATAAAAATCTACAAGGGCATATGATATTGATAAAACAAGAGATAACCCTTATGTTGACTCGATAGAACCCCAAATGAAGCAACACCAAACCAACATAATCTTTGACTCGATCGAACCCCAAACGAACCTTTTCTTTGACTGGATCGAACCCGAAGAAATGAAATATTTTTCCAACCACGATTTGACACAAACTTGGGAATTCATGGATGCTTTCCATATGGCTTTTCAGACAATACCTTATTAAGTTGTGTGATGAGATGGATCCAGACCACCTTCGAAATGCAAAGCAAGTGGCCAACAGATGATGTCGGTGCCGATCTTCAGCCACTGGACATTTACAACGATGCCACCGCGGTTTCTTGAGGGCGAGGAAAATGCTGAAGACAGATGCGCAGATCCCATGGGTAGGACTATTGGGAAATAAACGAGTAACGAGTAATTTCCCTATAACCAGATTAGTGAGAATGCGAAATAAAAGCGGAAAAATAATACCCGAAATTTATAACGGAGTTCAGCCAATTGTGCTTACGTCTTCGGACTGCTGCAGATTTTTTACTAAGAGAGAAAATTTACAGGTGTTTACAAAAACTCACTACTCACAAGAAAACTCTCTAGTATTGGGAGAAAGAAATGATTTTTGTGATGATTTTAAAGCTAAATGAGCTAGGGTATTTATAGTTGAAACTTAAGGACTTAATCATGTAAATATCCTAAAGTCTAGTGACTAATTATGATTATCCCATTACAATATTTCAACAAACATCTACCAAACTTTGAAAAACCATTTTTCAAAGAAACATTTACCAAACTTTGAAAACCATTTTCAAAAAAACATTTACCAAACTTTGAAAACCATTTTTTCAAAGTTGGTTGCCAAACTTTGAACTTTTAATTTGGTGCATTGCTTGACTTTCAACAATCTCCCACTTGAAGACTGATTTTAATTTGTCTTCACACCTCGATCAATGCAGCAACATTTCTGGTCTTGTTACTCCAGCATGCCAACTGAAGTTGAACACAACTTCAGTTTGTCGTGGTCACCTTCTTTGTCAACATGTCTGCCGGATTTTGAGCTCCACTAATCTTTTCAAGTTTCAAAATCCCATCTTCTAAAAGAGACCGGATAAAATGATACCGTAATTGTATGTGCTTCGTCCTGGAATGAAAAGACAGTTTCTTTGCTAGATGGATAGCACTTTGACTGTCGCAATACAAGACATTGTTTTCTTGTTTCTTGCCTAACTCTTCCAAGAAACTTTGGAGCCACACCATCTCCTTGCTGGCTTCTGTAACAACGACATATTCTGTTTCAGTTGTGGAGAGAGCAACTATCTTCTGTAGTTGAGAAACCCAACTCACTGCGGTTCCTCCTAGAGTATAGACATACCCTGTAGTGCTCCTTCTGATGTCAACATTTCCAGCTAAGTCAGCATCTACATAGCCTATCAATATCGTATCTCCACCTTTGAAACAAAGTGCTTTGTTTGTAGTACCGCGCAGATATCTGAGGATCCATTTGATTGCTTCCCAGTGTACCTTGCCTGGATTATTCATGTACCTGCTAACAGCTCCCACTGCATGAGCAATATCTGATCTGGTACAAACCATGGCATACATCAGACTTCCAATTGTTGAGGCATACGACACCTTTACCATGTGTGCACGTTCTTCCTCCGTCTTTGGTGACTGTTCTTTGGAGAGTCTAAAATGAACACCTAAAGGTGTACTTACTGGTTTAGCATCTTGCATGTTGAACCTGGAGAGTACTTTGTTGATGTACTCAGCCTGTGATAACATCAAAGTCCCTGACTTTGTGTCTCTCTTGATCCTCATCCCAAGAATTTGCTTTGCAGTGCCCAGATCCTTCATAGCAAACTGCTTTGACAATTTTTGCTTCAAGTTTATAATCTCTTGCATGTCTGAACCTGCAACGAGCATGTCATCAACGTACAACAATAAAATAATGAAGTTGTTGTCGAACCTCTTGATGTAGCAACAATGATCTGCTTGGCATCTGGTAAAACCATTGCTACTCATGAAACTATCGAACTTCTTGTACCATTGTCTAGGAGCTTGTTTTAAACCATACAAGCTCTTCTTCAACCTGCATACCAGGTTTTTCTTACCTGCCTCTATGAAGCCTTCTGGCTGCCTCATATAGATTTCTTCCTCCAAATCACCATGAAGGAAAGCTGTCTTGCTCAAGATGTAAATTATCTGCAGCTACAATTTTCAACACCAGTCTGATTGTAGACAGTTTTACAACTGGAGAGAAAATTTCATTGTAGTCAATACCTTCTTTTTGCTGAAAGCCTTTGACAACCAATCTTGTTTTGTAGCGTTTGCTCCTATCGTGCTCTTCTTTGATCCTGTAAATCCACTTGTTATGAAGCGCTTTCTTGCCTGGTGGTAATTCAGCTAATTCCCACATCTGATTTGACATAAGCGAGTCCATCTCATCTTTCATGGAAGACTCCCACTTGATTGAATCGTCCACTTGCATTGCTTCATCATAGCACTCTGGTTCACCATTGTCAGTAAGCAACAAGTAGTGCAAAGAAGGAGAATACCGTTGGGTTGGTTTAGGAATTCTGGAGGAGCGTCTTAGTTCCGGTGTGCCTGGTTCTTCTTAAACTGCTTCAGGATTGATCTGAACATCATTTCTAGAAATCTCCTCGAACTCAGCAAATTCCTTTGTTTCAGCTTCGGTATTTGAGCTACTTGATTCTATGGTTGATCTGTCTTTGCACATCACATTCTCATTGAAAATGAAATCTCTGTTTTTGATGATCTTCCGATTTTCATAGTCCCAAAACCGGTAACCGAACTCATCACCACCATAACCAACAAAGACACATTTGTTGGACTTGGCATCAAGTTTACTTCTTTCAGCAGAGTTTATGTGTACATAAGAAATACAACCAAACACTCTTAAGTGTGAAAGGTTTATTTCTTTCTTGCTCCAAACTTCCTCTGGTATTCTGCCATCCAAAGGAATTGAGGGCCCACGGTTGATCAAGTAAGCTGCAGTGTTGATTGCTTTAGTCCATAGAAATTTGGGCAATCCGACATGTATCCTCATGCTTCTGGCACGTTCATTCAGAGTTCTGTTCATGCGCTCTGCTACGCCATTCTGTTGCGGTGTTATGGGAACTGTTGTCTCTATCTTGTTCCCATTGTTTGCGTAGAAATCTCTGAATCTACGATGTATGTACTCTCCTCCATTGTCAGACCTCAACTGTTTGACTTTCAGACCAGTCTCATTTTCCACCATGGCCTTTCATTTTATGAAGGTATCAAAGACTTCTGATTTCTTCTTCAGAAAATAAACCCACACCTTCCTTGTAGAATCATCGATGAAGGTGACAAGAGATGGAATTGGAGATGGTCTCCATACATCAGTATGAACCAACTATAACTTTTCAGCCTTGGGTGTCTTACCAATCTTTGCAAAACTAACTTTCTTTTGTTTGCCAAAGATGCAATCCTCGCATAGTCCGACATCTATATTCTTTAGATCCGGCAGCTTCCCCTTTGACAAAAGTGTCTTCATCCCTTTCTCGCTCATATGGCCAAGCCTTTGGTGCCATAGGTTTGATTTTCCATCAGCATCTGCTACTGCAATGATATTCTCTAAATTTGAGGTTATATAGAGAGTACTAGTTTTCTTACCACGAGCAATGACGAGTGCTCCTTTGGTAATCTTCCATTCACAGCCTGAAAAGGTTGTGCTAAATCCTTCACCATCAAGCTGTCCTACAGAAATCAAATTTCTTTTGAGGCCAGGAATATGTCTCACTCCTTTTAGTGTCCAGGTGGTCTGGTTTGGCAACTTTAGTCGGATGTCTCCTTTTCCGACGATCTTCAAGGTTTCATCATCAGCTAGATGAACCTTCCCAAAATCACCACTGACATAGTTCTCCATGATTTCTCGGCATGGGGTGGAGTGGAAAGATGCCCCTGAATCCAATATCCATGATTCAATCGGACTATTGACGCTTAGAATCATGACATCACCTGTCTCCTCTATCACGTTGGCAGAATCCTGTGCGCCAGTATTTTTCTTCGGCGCTCGACAATCTCTTTTAAAATGACACTTCTTGCCGCAGTTATAACAGGTAAAATCTTTCTTTCCCGTTTTTGATTTTCCCGTTCTGGATTTTGATCTGCCTCGGTTTAAATTTCTTTCTGAAGTTCTCCCTCTAGACTCCGTGTGCAAGGCTGAGGAGGTTGATGCTTCACCCGATTCTCTTCGTCGAATTTCTTCACTCAATACCAGATCCCGAACATCGTCGAATTTTAATTTACTGTTTCCCGACGAGCTGCTGACTGCTGTAACAGTAGCATTCCAACTGTCTGGTAGAGATGATAAGAGAATTAAAGCTCGAACTTCATCATCAAATTCAATTTCCACAGAACTTAACTGGGTTGTGATTGTGTTGATCTCATTTAGGTGTTGAGCCACTGATGCCCCTTCCGCCATCCACAAATTGAATAATCGTCTCATCAAATGAACTTTGTTTGAGGCCGATGGCTTCTCATACATACTGGAGAGAGCCGCCATAAGACTCGTCGTGGTCTTTTCCTTTGCTATATTGAAAGTAATATTTCGGGACAACGTCAGTCGGATAACTCCGAGGGCTTGTCTGTCGGGAAGAGCCCAGTCTTCATTCTTCATGCCCTCTGGTTGTTTTTCTGAGAGAGGTTGATATAGATTTTTCTGGTACAAAAAATCTTCAATCTGCATCTTCCAAAAGCCAAAGTCCGCACCATCGAACTTTTCAATTTTCATATTCCCTTCGTCTGCAGCCATCGCTCCCACTCGAATCTGGCTTCTTTGGATCGTTTCTGACAATTTGTGCGAACCACCGTGTATTATAACACCTCCGTCGACAAACTTGTATTGCCGACAAAATGTTTACTATTCACAAAATTTACTATTCACGTGAATAGTAATGAATAGTAACCTCACAAAAAATTGACAAAATTCACAACCAAAAGCTCTGATACCAGTTGTTGGGAAATAAACGAGTAACGAGTAATTTTCCTATAACCAGATTAGTGAGAATACGAAATAAAAGCGGAAAAATAATACCCGAAATTGATAACAAAGTTCAACCAATTGTGCTTACGTCTCGGACTGCAGCAGATCTTTACTAAGAGAGAAAATTTACAGGTGTTTACAAAACACTCACTACTCACAAGAAAACTCTCTAGTATTGGGAGAAAGAAATGATTTTTGGGATGGTTTTGAAGCTAAATGAGCTAGGGTATTTATAGTTGAAACTTAAGGACTTAATCATGTAAATACCCTAAAGTCTAGTGACTAATTATGATTATCCCATTACAATATTTCAACAAACAACTACCAAACTTTGAAAAACCATTTTTCAAAGAAACATTTACCAAACTTTGAAAACCATTTTCAAAGAAACATTTACTAAACTTTGAAAACCATTTTTTCAAAATTGGTTGTCAAACTTTGAACTTTTAATTTGGTGCATTGCTTGACTTTCAACAAGGACGATCAAGGTTCTTTATAAACGTAGAAGTACGATCTGAGAAAATCATGGTGAAGATGGTTATTACATCCAGGACAATGGCACCAAGGAGCAAAGTGTAGGTGATTCCAATTTCCACTCCATCGTAGGCATCTTTGTTCGTTTTGAAATGGAAGATTCCAAGAGTAACCAAAGTCGACCCAAAAGCTAGGAATCGAAAAATAGATCCGAACCAAGAGTAGACAACTTCCAGCTTGGTATAGAGAGTCCTATATATGAAGTTGAGTTCAACCTCGATTACCCTCAGAGCATCTTCAGCTGTCCTCCTGTAGAAAAAATCACGGCTCTCGTCGCGCTCACGGAAGCTGAAGGTGAAATCCACGATGAATCCCTTGAATGTTTCGAAGTAGTAAAAACCATAGTGCACCACTTCCAAATGATTCAGCTCGCCTTCCTTGGGTGGAATATCAGAAGCCTTGGTTTCTTTATCTGGCTCAGGTGTCAAATCGATTCTCGTCGAAATCTCCGCCTCTCTCTTGTTCGCGTATTCCTCCATGAGCTTATCGTAGTTGGGGTCAGCATCCTGATCTTTAAGCATCGAATCACGAAATGTGTCCAGACTCGCTAAATACAAAGCCACTGTCCGCTCCACGTACTTGATGATACCAGCGCAAAACATGAGTATCGTGGGGATCATTAGCTTGTCGTTGGGAAGTGACTGGAAGAAGACATAGATAACAGCCCCCGCTTGAACAACAAGGCCGAACAAATGCCTCGGCCAAAGCTGATTATCCTCGAGAGAAAAAGCAGTGATGGTGTCGGGGCCGCCAAGGTGTAATAAAAGGAATGGCGCCCAGAATGCCATTAGGCCGCTCAGAATTTTCTTCACCGGATCCTCGGACTTATCAGAATCAGATTGGCCGCGTTGGCTGTTGGATATGAGACCAACGGCAAAATTGGCAGCTGCGTCAGCCAACAAGTACGAATCCAAATGAGTAAGATGGCGACCTTTTTCCTCGCGGATTTTCTTACTGGGGCCACGAAAATCAGTACCACCTGCAACAAGAGACTGAACAAAATAGCCCCTCGGATGTTCCATGCGTTCCATGCCTTTTGTAATCTACTAAGGATGCTTATAAATAACCCAGCCATTTTCTTCCCTCTACACTCTTTTCACTCTTGTTAATTGCTCACTTGATATTGAGCACACTATATATGGCTTGTTTTACTACCAAATTCTTTACATAGGAAAAGAAAATGCTTTCGTAGCACTTACAAAAGATTTCGATACTTAGCTATTCCATGTCATTTGTCTTCCTCAACACTAAAGATAAAGCCTATGTTACAATAGATAGCGACCGAACATAAAATCATGTAATTTAGAGAGAATTTTAACGACTTTGAAAAATAAAAATAAAGAAAGAAACGAGGCCGTAGTTGGAATAAAGGCCAATGCATATTTCACGATGGGGGTAGCTTTGCTCCTCATTTGGTTTTCCTTTTTGGAACAAAAGCATGGATCGGGCATTTCACCATGGAAGTAACCCAATGCATGTTCCACGATGACTGATTCTTGAAACAAACTTAGCTAAGAATACGATTTTAACTTTTTGCACTTTTTATCTGCAATAGTCAACTGCAAGTCATTCTTATTCTAAGAGAAACCCGATGGGGGGACTGAGTGAAAGGCCAAGGCCTTCTTGCTGGATCGGGCATTTTACTTTCTCTTGCAATTTTGGTTCTTCTTCCTACAAGTTTGCTAGGCTAATGATTTCTGCCCTTCTAAGCTTATTTTGTTGACCAAGTTTCTAGTAACTTTATTCTCTTTTTGACTTGAAACGCTTTTCTCACATAGTTTTGCATTTTCAACCTCCATTATGGTTCGCAACCAAGGTCACGAGGCTTAATTTAGTACTACTAAACTAGTAATACTACTGCCGGTAGCTTTAAAAATATTATATATCATAATTGTTCAGTTGAATTGCTATAAGAAGTGTATAGTTTAATGAATCCATTAATTTACTTAAATAATTTTAAGGTTTATGGTTTAGAGTTTAAAATATTATATTTAATAAATAAAATCATAAAATTATAAATATATATATATATATATTAGAAATTGTAATCATGGTTAATTTAGTTTAAGAAATTAAAAGATCATAAACACTAAAAATATAAAACACATTTATAAATAAATAAATATAAAAAAATTATAAGAGATAATGGCCCAACAAGATTTATAAGTCTCTGCAACGACACCTCAATCGGTGCACGATCTGAGGAAGCAGCCTAGCCTCGAAATGCCGTTGAAAGCGACATTTCGATGTCGTACTCTTATGACCTAAGCGCCAAATAGAACTGAAACAAAGCTTGTTTAATTAATCCAACTAGTTCTATAGGCCATATTAGGATACTATAGAAACCCGACCCAATCTGAAAATATATATCTTCACTCGAAATCCGACTTGACATGAGTTTAGGGGTAATTTTATTTGAACCGATTCAAACCGAATCAAACTTTTTAATATAAAACTAAAGCTCAACTTGACTTAACCCGAAATAAAAATATATAAAAAAATATTATTGTTATTCATTAAAAATAGAGATCTAATTGAAAAAATAATACATAGAAGGTTATTATTAATTATCCCTAAATATATAAGATAAATTTAAATTATTTTTGGAGTTGGGTAGGGTATTTTTCATCATAAACTCAAATCCGACCTGATTCGAACTAATTTTTTTTTAAAAAAAATTGACCCTATCAAACAGAATCATATCAAAACTCGCCAGGTTTAGGTCATGTGCTTATCCCTAGGCCATATATTTATCAAGAAATGGAGAAAAATTTGTTGGAAAAATGATGATTTTAATTGATGGATTTAATATTTATATTAAATTCATAGTCCTTTTAACTATTGTAAATTAAATATATTATTTAATTTGAATATTAGTAGGATAATTATTCTTTGAATATGTAAATTTAAAATGGTAATTGTTATTTTTTTAACTTTTAATATTAAAAATAATTATATACTTTTATATATTTCAAATTAAAATAATATATATTTAAGTTTGAAAGTTAAAATGAGTTTTATCTTTTGAATATTTCAAATTAAAATATATTATTATATGTTTAACGTAGAATATTAAAAGATATCTAGTTGAATTAAATATCTCTTGAAAATCTCCTATAAATAGTAGTTAATATTTTAAGCTAAACACAAGTTACAAGTTTTACAAGTTTTCAGCAAGTTCTTTGACAAATTCAAAAGAAGAAAAAATTTATCTTCCTCTAGTTTTTCGGTGCTAGTCGAAGGCAAAACTCGTTCGTGATATATGTAGATATGCATTGTAGTTGACCATAAGTTGTTGTATCCTGGGAGACAGATGACTAACGAAATTGAGCACCAAAGTCCTTAAATTTGATACTATAGTTTATGAGCATACAACTCAAATTTGGTAAAAACGAACTTAAAATAAATGAGGAATTGAAGAAATAAGGAGATTATGAAAAATTAAAGGACTAAATAAAAAAATAATGAATTTGTTATCAAAAAAAGGAATTGAAAGTACACACGTATTCTATTATGGTTTAGGAGCATGTGACTCAAATTTGGTAAAAAAAGACTTAAAATAAATGACGAATTGAAATAAATGGAGATTATGAAAAATTGAAGGACTAAATTGAAAAATAAAAATTGTTACCAAAAAGAAGAATTGAAAGTACACATGTATTCTACTATGATTTAGGAGCATGCGGTTTAAATTTGGTAAAAATGAGCTGAAAATGAAGGAGGAATTGAAGAAATAATGAAAACATGAACTAAAATGTAAAATTATCAAAATACTTAGTCAATTTTTCAATTTTTCGAGTAACCCGAAAATTAAAATTTTCATCTCAACTCTAACTCAAAAACCGAATTTATAATTCGAGTTGACTAGAATAACTCAAAATTGAAAAAAAAAAATTAATTTTTCGAGTCGAGTCGAGTTTTTCTTACCCTTAAATTTTTCTAACATGTGACAAAAACACAACGTTATGAATAATTTTGAAAAAAAAATAGTTGAGTGACCATAAATGCATAAAAATGGTAGTTGAATGACTAAATATGTGTTTACCGAATAATAAATTAATATGGATTTATGCTATCATATTAAAATAGAGTAAAACAGTTTAGTTTAACTATTACAAACCATTTTTCAAAATAGTTCAACAAAGCAACTAGGACATTAATAATTACATGCCACTAACAAAGTCAAAATTATATCATAGGATGTCTTACTGATATTGTAGTGTATTCCTGGATGCTCGGAGTGACCTGTACTCTTTACTCTATTCTTAGCTTTTTACCTACGCGTGAAAATCATCACACGCTAAGTATATACTTAGTGAGACAATTAAAACAATAAATAATACAATACAACTAATGCATGAAATTCAGTGTCATAAACAAATGTCATAAGATCATGTTACCTGCATGTCCAATATTTTACCATAATCAACATAATATAACCGAATATAAAGTTTTTTACCAATATATTTATCATTTTTCCATAAACTCGTAAGCTTATTTGTATGTTTATCATTCATTAACCAGTAAACTATAGACTATAAACCATAAACCATAAACCATAGCCCAATATAAAACCCTGAGGACCCTGGGTACACGAGTCAAATATATATACCGTAATGCATCCCGAGTATGACACATAAGGTCGTGTCCACCATCTGTACTAGGTATCCTTAAGTACAGTCCCGAATATGACACATAAGGTCGTGCCCACCATATACACTAATTATACTATAGTGTAATCCCGAATATGCAGCCTGTTGTTGGACTATATGGCATGTCAACTATACCCTGTCCCTCAATGACTTACTTGGGCATATAGTCTAATTCATTTATCCATGGTATCATATAACCATATATTTAACATTAGGGCAGTTCAAACCCAAAATAACATCCATGGTAAAATATCACATTATTCATGATCAATGCATTATAATTTCACACTATGACATATCAATGTCATATCGAAGTTATAAAAATGACATAATATCATACTGATATAAACAAGGTCGATTTATTGCAAGTCTTTCTGATGATGTATAAAAATCTATGTATATGATGTATAAAACATCTATGTACAATGTCATGCATGTATTGCACTCACATTGACACTTTATATATTCCAAAGTATATGCCTCAATATGATCCACAATAAACCCTTTTATACTTGACTTGCTTCGATCACAAATCAATCACGATCTGTATAAATCATAAATTCATAACGATACATATGTTAGTATTGTACTAACATAAACACATCCCCAAAACAAAATCCATAATATACTTGAAACACATTTTCTACCAAAATACTTCACTTAATAATTCCTTTTAATATTGGCTCCAACTTTTCCAATTTACACAAAATTGTCCTTCACCATTTTATCACTTAGATTCTTAATACCAAAATTCCAGCAATGAAATTATTACCATTCAAATGTTTTTACAAAAGTACAATTACATTTAAGCACCCCAACTATGTGAATATTGCACTTAAATCATCAATCTTTTCAAACTTCCAAAATGATCATATTTCACATCTAAACACTCATTTCAATTCCAAACAGTAATTTCTAGCATAGTATATCAACTATTAGGCAATTATACATCCATTCACAACTTTTTCAAAATTATTGAATTGGTCCCTAACTTTTCAAAAATTATAAAATGGTCCCTGAATTTTTCTAAGGCTTGTAGAATACTTCCTACATCATTTCCAGACCTTATATATTTTTCCATAATTTTTCTCACTCAAATACATCATAGTCGAATTCTTTATCCTTTAAAACTATGTTTTCATGGTTTTGCTTCGATTTAAGCATGAAATCAATTTTCAATCAACCTTATAACATCTTGTTGAGTTAATCGATCGATAAAATAGCCAAGAGGGGGTGAATTGACAATTAAAATTTTGGTGGAAGCTTTTGCAGAAAATAGAAAATATTTGCACATCGATTTAGAGTGATTCGACTTTCTCAACCAAAGTCTACTCCACTACCTTAGCTATCCACACTAAGGATTTTCCAACAAATTCACT